AGTAGGTCATTTCTTTTAATGCATTCTTTATTATTCATTAAATTTATGTATGACAAGCTTCTCATCGTTGAGTTCTTTCATATTACACTTCATTAAATTCAAAATAATCTTACCAGCAACAAGTATTCGATCGGGGACATGCATATCAAACTTCTCACTGGCCAATGCTGTATTCCAGTTACTCCCAATGTTGCTTTGATCATCATTACTTTCACCATCAACTTTAATTCTCTTTGGTACTCTCATTTTCTGGCTTATATCAGCTGTAAAATTTGGATCATAGAAGTGATCAAAATCTCCAGAAAATCGTGTGGGGCTGGCTGCTTTCGACATCTGTTACGAGGAACATATTAAACAGGACATATAAATTAGTTTAGCCATCAAAATCTTATAGAACATTAGCTGTGAACAAATTAAATGAACAATTAAATATTGCTATAGTATATCCTTCACGTTGCAATGAGAATACCTCATTCATGCAACAACTAAGATAACGGAACGTGGGTTCAGATCTGTCCAAAAGCATCCCTTTATTGGTCATTCCACTTAACAAAAGTTACATAGAAGCCCTTCTTTCCACCTTCAAATAACAACTACAACTTACTCTGTTGCCAAATATTCACTTCTCATTCAACTGTACACAAAAGAAATGCAAAATTCCTTCAACAGATGAATACAATAAATTCTTACACGTCTACATTTCCCTTAAGCAGTGCAACTTTCGACATCACTTCTATTCAGATTAATAACACAATGCCTCTACAATCCATAGGCATGATCCAGATTTGGTAGAATAGAATTACACGGATACGCAACGACGAAAGTGATGTTGGTAGCGCATAAAATCCGACCAGCTGCCGCCAACCTTTAGCATACTTGATCTTTACCTTTAACTAAGATGTAGAATAATCTCATATAAAAATATATGTTATATACACATAACACGATAAGTTTCTACGAAATAAGTCCAAAGCATTGGCTACTACCTACACAGCATCACAACGAGAACATCCTTATAAACGTGATTTTTGAAACTTTTTAAAATATTTTCAACTTATCTACGGATGCTGTTTAAGAAAGACAATAATACAGTAATACAGAAAAGATTTTATATGTGTGCATAATTAATGTTCTTGTAATATAATAAGTATGTGAATAACCTTAACAATCATTAATGTTGTATTTACTGCATCTATAAACGACATGTATTTATGGTTCATTGAAATAGTTATTAGGTTGGGTATTATACCATAGTTTAGTTGGTACACTATTTCAGATTTCCGTTTTCGGTGCTGCCAACGTCACGCTTCTGAGTAGAGTATAAGGGAAATTATTCTTTTCAGAAGGGAAAGGATATCTAGTTGTCCATTTACTTGTATTTCCGGTTTGATAGTTTGTAAGAGAAGTGCTTGTTCTGTTTAGCTAAGCCCGAATCGGGGACTTGCACGAGTACTGTTTAACATCATACAAAATACGTAGAATTTTTTTGTAATATGGCTTCTAAGGCAGAATTGGCTTGCGTTTATTCGGCTCTCATCTTGGCTGATGATGATGTAGCAATTACAGTAAGTCTGAAAGCGATTTTGTAATGTGATAACGTGTCGAATGGATTATGGTGTAGAACAATGTTTTTGTGTTTTTGCTGATAGGGCGAGAAGATCCAGACGATTCTTAAGGCTGCATCTGTAGATGTGGAGCCTTACTGGCCAGGGCTCTTTGCTAAGGCGCTGGAAGGCATTAGTGTCAAGGATTTAATTACGAATGTTGGTTCTGGTGTTGGGGCTGGACCAGCACCCGGTGGAGGAGGTGGAGGAGGTAATTAGTTCTCTAAGTGGATCATTTTCAGGTGTGTAAGTAAGAAAGGCCTTCTTTGTGTCTTATTATGACGCTGTAAAGTAATTCGTGTTTACTAGGATC